CATTATGACACCTTCATGCTACAGAACAGTAAGTATGCAGCCAAATGAGGCCGCTCTGTAGGTGCTGATATGGAAGATGTCCTCACTACACTGCTAAGCTAAGAAAACAAGTTCTGGAGCTGTGTGTTTCAGTGTGATGAGTGGACCATTACTGGTGACTATATCTGGAAAGTGGATAGTGACTTTCAATTCTCATCTCCCATGCTTCTGTACTGTTTAAATTTTGTTTGCTACGAGCACAATTTTTTTTTCTATAGTAATAAATTTTAAAAAGAATTTGGAATGCAGATGATCACAATCAAATACAGCTGTAAACACAGTGGTAAAACCTGTCACAGGGCCCCAGCTTGCTCTCATAGGAAATCTGATCAGAGTACAGAATTGCTCCAACATGGGCCTGCAAAAACGTGCCTCATCTCTGCCTTCACACTGGCCAGGTTTCCCTCAGGGGTACTTGCCATCAAGTACCCTGCTGGGCCAACTAGTCAAGGTCCTGAAGTCCCTCCTGGAGTGGGCACCTGGCAACCTTGGTCTCCAATGGAGCCCAGCTCCAGTTTTGGCTTTGCAATAATTTGTCACACGACATAGGCAATCCATACCTCTATGACCTCACTCCCAATGTCGCATTTGCTATACAGAGGACAATAGGGAGTACACCACTAACACCATACTCAGGATGGGGCAGACAGAACAAAGCTGGGGAAGGGTGGTGATGCCAACACAGGTCTGCATGAGATCTGTGCTTATTTTCACAGGGCCACCTGCAAGGCAACTCAAGAGGCCACCATCCCCTCAAACGGCTCGTGCATGGAGCAGCACTGTTCAACCCAACTTTCGGTGCTGTTGAATACGAGAGTTACCAGCCACATGTGGCTCCCAAGCACTTGAAACGTGGCTAATGTGACTGGCAAACTGAATCTTAATTAATTTAAACGTTCATTTAAATAGCCGCATGTGACCAGAGGCTCCCATACTGGGCCACACAGCCCTAGAACCTAGCTCTCCGATACCCATGGTTAAAACCTCAAGGTTCCTGAACCCACTACCACATAAGTCAAGTTTTGCTCCACTGAGGGAAAGAGCTCCCTTTCTAGCCAACACCCTGAATGTCCCATGCCAGGGATCCAGAATCCTCTCTGAGCTTTCTGCTTTCCCTCTCCCATCCAAGCTACTCACATCTCAAGGTCCCTACACGCTGGCTACCTGGACCCCTGAACACCCAAGGATGGCCAGCTATCCTGGTATTCTGCTCATAGTCCCCTGGAGCTGGATGCACAAAGCCCAGAGAAGGCCAGGGACAGATAGGCCCTGGGGGACAGAGAGACGCTTACCCTGGCTCACACTCAAAACTGGGCTGACCACAGCCTGTCCAACAAGGGAAAGATACAGAATATGAGGCCTGGCTGCCAAAACAAAGCAAGGACTCTTCTAATTTGTACTCCATTACAAGTACAGTGATAACTATAACTTGCTTCTGAACGTTACACTCCATGTCCAGGATGGACGTGCAAGGCAGTGTAAGCCAAGGGTAAATAACCACGTTGTCTGGTTACAGACTCCTAGCTCATACCCATCATCATGGCTTGTGGCTGACACAGCATTATTGAAAATGGAAAGAAACAGTTGGAGGAAGTGCTGGAGCACATCCCCAACATATGACTCTGGAATAGGTCTTCCAGAGGAAGCCCTGCTCAGCTCTGATTTCATTTGTGCATTTAGGATTACACATGCTGACTCTGCAGAAAAAGACACACGTCATACAGCCCATTTTTGGGCTGTGGACTTTCACACCTGAATTTCATGGTTGTTTGGGAGCATACACACTGACTATGGAAGAAGACACTTCATGCGGTCCACCTTTGGGCCATGGTCCTTCACAAGCAGAGTTGCAGAGCTCCAGGAAGCCCCTCCAGACCTTCCCTGTCCTAACTCCCCTTTGCAGCCCCCAAGCTATCATCAGGTATCACAAGCTTCTTGTGGTGGCCACAAGAAGTCAAGAAACGTCCCTGAAGCCCATGAGCTCCAGGTCCAGCTGGTTACAGAGTAGAAGGATGGGGAATAGGCTGGGTGGGAGAAAGTCAGAGAAGGCAATCCAGTGGGCAGCTTAGTTGAGGATGGCCTAACCCAAGGAAAATAAAGAGTTATACCATTCTGGCCTCATGCCCCCAGCCATGGAAAAGCCAGGCTGACTTGGGCACTATTACATACACACAAAAACAGACCACAGAAAAGTATACCATGCAATGAAAAAAATAACTCAGGAATATGCTCTTGTCTGGTCTGGTTTGACAATGGCTATAAAATTGGTATTATGGATATACTACGGGACACACAATGAAAGGACATGAGGTTTTACCTTGATTGGCATCCATGCAGACTTGCATGAGACCACCACTGACTGTATCCTGACTCCCCTATATCCCACTGGCCGGCACCCTACACCCCCTTCCAAACAGTACTCAGCCTATGGTTAGGGACCCAGAGGCACATGCATGCCTCTTCCATCCCTCAGTACCTTGGCTTAACAAGTCCCCCATGTCCCTACCCTAACCCTGCTGCAGAAGGCTAGGGAGAGGGGACTCACTATAGTGAGTTGTGTAATCCACAAGTTAAGAAGCCTGAATATTCCTTTCCATATAGGTACTTCTCCCAGTAAGGACCTCCACCAGTGGGCATGTCACTTTCAACACATTTTATGGGTAAATACAGAATCTTACCAATGCCTATTGCCATGTGTATGGAAAGAGTGGGTCAGATGTTAATTCTGGTCAGTGGGGAGCATGTGGTCCTCAGGCCCAACCATGCTCCAAGCCTGTGAGTCACCACACCTTCTGGCTTCACATTGCTTCCTTCTGTTTGTCCCTGAGCTTATGCTGCTTGAAAATCATGTAGGTCTCCTCTCTGTGTCTGAGGTTCTAGACCTGGCCACCAAATCCATGCTCCCTTGCCAGCAGTTCCATGTGGCTCCTCCCAGTCTGCACTATGAGAGCGAACGACCTCATATCCTTGGGTTTGCCCCATGGCTCTTCCTCTCCAAACCCTTTTCTGAATTTCACCCCAGAACCACTAAGATGAATCCACAACAGAGATCAGACATGTGCTGTGTGCAAGGAGTTCCCTGAACACAGAAGAAGGCTGACATTTTCATCACGCCTGCCTTCTAGGCATCTTTTTATTCTAACTTAGTATCTGGAATTAAGGGAGGTTTGTTATTGCGTTGATTTTTGAAATGATGAATAGAATATTTAGTATATTAAAAGCCAATTTAAGCCCCTAAAATAATTTCTAAAAATCATAAATGTTGCTGTTGTTGTTGTTATGTAATGTCGAGTCAGACCCGAATCATAGCAACCCCTCCTTGGGTTTCTGAGGCAGTATCACTATGGAAGTAGATTGCCCAACCTTCTTTCCGAGGAGTGGCTGGTGGGTTTGAACCGCCAGCCTTCTGGTTAGCAGTCAAGTGCCCTAGGCACTACGCTACCAGAGCTCTTAAAAATCATAAGTAAGGAGATATTATTATAAAATTATCTACTTGGACAGACAGCTCATTAGAATCCCCCTGCCCAATGCAGCTCTCCCATTGCCAAAGAATTCCCCTGCCCATGCCAACGAATACCACTGAGGCAATAGAAGTTTCCAACAAAGGAAGTGTTGGCAGATCCAAGGCCTTTTCCGGGGTTGCTTTTTGACTTTAATGATAAAATATTACTACCAAACCAAAACCAATCCCACTGTCACTGAGTCAATTCTGACTCACAGTGACCCCCATTGGGTTTCTGAGGCAGTAAATCTTTATGGAAGTAGCCTCGTCTTCCTTCTGCAGAATGGCTAGTGGGTTTGAAGTGTCAACCTTCTGTTTAGCAGTCAAATGCCTTAGGCACTGAACCACCAGAGCTCCTTAAATATTACTACATTGAAGAAAAATCACAAAACACCAGAAGCTCTCCTTCTGGTATATTTTTGCTATTTTTCACATTATCATTGTTATCGAACATTTTTGTCTTACACTGTTATCATGGTATCCAAATAATATAGTATACTTCATTTTCAACTAAAAATCATACTACGGACATTTATTTTTTCCACAGGCAATGTCTTCCCACATTTCTTTCAGCTAAAACTCACACCATGAGGTATATTGGAATCACTACCATCACTGTGGGAGGCTGCACAGTGCCTGGATAATCACTCAATTCAGTACTGTGGCCTGAGGTTTGTGGCCTAAAGGTTTTTAACCAATGTTAAATATTTAAAAAAAAAAAAAAAAAAAATCACAAGGAGCTTCACACAGAGACCTGATTTCCATAGCTTGCATTATTTCCTCAGATGAGAGCCCCAAGAGAAGAAGAAAAACTATCAGCCCCTTTAAGGCTCTTAATCCCAGCCAATACACAGCCACTATCTGTCAGTCAGTGGAGGCTGACATGTTGCTATGAGGCTGAACAGGTTTCAGCGGAGCTTCCAACCTAAGATACACTGAGAAGAAAGGCCTGGAGATCTACTTCCAAAAACCAGCCAATGAAAACACTATGATCCCCAACTGATGATGGCACAGGATCAAGCAGCATTTTGTTTTGTTATGCAGGGGTCACCATGAGTCAGGGGCCAACTCAATGAGGGCACCTCACAACAACAAAGGCTCTGGATACATTTTGCTATATTGTTTTACAAAGGATTGTCCAACTTAAACTGTCACCATTTTTTAAAAAACTATAATCATGTTTATAAATCCAAAAACCCACTGCCATCTAGTTGATTCTAACTTACAGAGACCCCCCCTCCCCAAAGGGAGTAAATCTTTAGAGAAGTAGATTGCCTCATCTTTCTTCTGTGGAGCAGCTGGTGGGTTTGACCAGCCAATCTTCTGGCTAGCAGTCAGATGCCTTAGGCACACTGTACCACCAGAGCTCCATAACTATGTTTATAGTAGTGATTTTTAATAACGCTTATTAGTTTTAATGTAAATATTCAAAACTTATTTACTAGCTATATGAAAATACATCTCTTAGACCCTACTATCCTAAGTGTGGTCTGTGGACCAGAAGCACCAGCATCTCCTAGTAGCTAGTTAGACATGCAGCATTTCAAGCCTGCCTCAATCTGGAGAATCAGAACTTAATTTTAAAGAGACTTCCAAGTGTTTTGTGTGCACCTTAAACTTTGAGGAGCACTACACTAGCATAAATTTCAGTAGTTTTTTTTTTTAAACATTTTTAAGATCTCTCTTATAGAATCTTGTGTGACAGGTCCAGAACGTACCATTGATCTTACTATCTTCATGAATAGTTGTTCAGGTCTCAATGTGCACAGCCTCAGAGACTCCTTTACACACTGACCACAGGAGAGCGGGGGTGACATTACTACATAGCAAACTCATAAAAATGAGTAATAAAGAATAATCAAGTGTTTCCCCTACATGTCCAGACTTTTCACTCTGAAAAATAATTAGCTTTTTAGGAATCAAATCAGCTGCCAATACTTTCCCCATGTGTTTGTCTTTTAATTTCAGTCCTAGTCTCAAAGTCCCAGAGCAGCTGTTTAGATGGTGCCTTCATGATGTGCTTTGACAGCAAGGGTGGGAGTGGCCACTTCCTGCCATCCATACTGATAATAATTCCGGTTACCTTTCATCTGTTGTAGGGTTTAATTTTCTTTTGAGCTAAAACTAATTCCTTCAAAACTTAAGTATCTAGAGAAAGATAGGAGTGTGTGTGTGAAGGGGGTCTAAACAGACTCTCCCAAATCTTGAACATGTTGCCCGACATTATTCACTGAGTGTCTTTTCTTCACCACTGAAATATCATGCTTCCCTCATTTGAGTACTTGGTGTGACAGATCCTATTTCAGGGCCATTCTATTCCCTGGGCTTGGCTGGCCTCAGCCCCACCTTACTTTTATTTAGTAGTTTGGGACTATGTTCCTACACCAGACAGGACTAGCCTCCCAAAAGACACTTTGAAAACAAACAAACAAAAAACTATTAATAATTCTGTATTTTCCTCTAGATAGAATTTTAGAATTGTTTTTGTCAAGCTAGGGGGAAAAAATTCCATTGGAATTTTGGCCAGAATAATGGTAAACCAGTAAATTAATTTGGGGTTAACTTGCATTTTACATATAATAGTTAATCTTCTTCTTATCCTGGAACAGGGTTATTTCTTTGTTCAAACTTTCTTTTAGACCACCTTTAATCAAGTTGTTGTGTAGGCTTACACAATTATACTAACAACATTCTTTATTACTTGCAGATTAGGACAATTTAACCTTCCTTCCCAACATTTTTCTTTCTTAGCTCATTTCAAACTCCTGAAACTATATGCATGGTACAGTGGCCAGAGCAGGCAGGAAGCTCTACTCTGACCACATCATATGTGGGAGAACCAGAAACAGTTGGCCCTCCCTGCCTTCCTGTCTCTAGAATCCCCCTGAACCTTGGTCAAAGAAAACATCACCTTAAAGAAAGGGCAGTCTGTGTCCCCTCCAGTCTTTGGGAGGGCCTGGCCTGAGGGGTCAACCTGACCTGATGGGGTCTGGGGGGCTTGCCTATGACCCCAACAGAAGCCCTCAGGGGTTCATACATGGGCTCAGTACCCTCACATGGGACAGAGGGGTGGCTGAGCAAATGCTGCCTCAGCAGTTGGGAGAGGAGGAAATCTGAGAAAAGGTAACGTACTTTCTCAAATTGTCAAGACAGGGAAACCAGGATAAAACAGCCCAGTGCTGCCCAGCACAGGTCCAAGCATTTAGACACACACTCTTGTCAAGACACACAGTTAACTTTCCAGATCAACTAATGGCTATTCAAAGACTCAATAAATAAATAAATAAATGAAAGTTTCCACTGTATTGAAATGAGTGATAAACATGAAGCAGGAACTCCTTGGCTCAATGTCTATAGTACCACATCAAACGAACACTCTATCTCCCAGCCATTAAGTGGCCAGGGTGGAGAGCAGGGAAGGAGAAAAACTGTGGGAGGGGAGTGTACGGAGAGATGCCATTTCTCCTTAAAAGCACTCTCTTACTCCACACACACATATAAATGGGTAAACCTATACTGAAGGCGCTCTGGTGGTGTAGTGAATAAGGCATTTGGCTGCTAACCAGGTCAGTGGTTCAAATCTACCAGCTGCTCTGTGGAAGGAAGATGGGGCAATCTACTTCCACAAAGATTTACAGCCTCAGAAACCCAACAGAGGTCACTATGAGTCAGAATTGACTCAACAACAGTGAGTTTGGTGAGTTTTTGAAACCTATACTGAAGTACCAAACAAGGTAAGAATACTGAACAGGCCAGCAGAATACAGCCAGACACTCAAAAGTGTTGGCAAGACATGGAATTTTGTACTGGATGGAATTTACTGTTCCTTACTTTTCACCTGTCCTTGTACTCACAAATTTTCCCATGTCATTTTGCAGTTCCTCCCACTAAAGAAAGAGCACTTCCTGGCCCTGACTCAGGTTCAGTCACGTGCCTTGTCCTGACCAATGGGATGTTGGTTTGAAATGTGCTTGCATACTTAGTGGTGGGTCCTCTCATATCTCTGCGGTAACCATGAGAAGGGACTCTGACATAGAGTCACTGAAATCTCAGCTGGACCTCAGGATGAACACGTGTGAACTGACCTGAGCTCATCCAGCAGCAACGAAGTAACCTCATTAAAACACAGCTCGAAGCACAGCCACCCTGCCAAGGCAACCCAGATCAGCCAACCTCAAGCCAACCCACAAAAGCATGAGCAAGAATAAATGACTGCTGCCACAGGCCACTGAAATTGGGCTAGTTGTGGCAATAGCTGATTAAATCAGATAGCATCCCCTAGGGAATGATAGCTTTCCCCTTCAAGTTATAAAGAAAGCAAAGTAACTTACCAGGCTCACCTTTTTTCTTTGACTTCTTCTTTGAAGGAGCGTCTTGCTTTGGTGCTGCCTGACTCTGGACCACATCTGGATTTTTGTCCTGGGTAGGAGCTGACTCAGACTTTTTGCCCTGACTGGCAGCTGTATCTCCCTTTTTGCCTTGGTTGGGGGACCCTTCTAGCTTTTTGCTCTGGTTCAGGGTTCCCTCTGGCTTTTTGCCTTGATTGGTGGCTCCATCTGTTTTTTTTCCCTGGTTCACAATACTCTCTGCCTTCATGCCCTGATTGGCAACTGAATCTGCCTTTTTGCCCTGGTTCTGGGTACCCTCAGACTTTTTGCCCTGACTGGGGGTCCCCTCTGCCTTTTTGCTCTGGTTGGGGCTCCCCTCTGCCTTTTTGCCCTGGTTGGTGGTACCTTCTGCCTTTCTGCTCTGATTTTGGGTACCCTCTACCTTTTTTCCCTGGTTAGGGGTCCCTTCTGCCTTTTTTCCCTGGTTCTGGGCCCCCTCCACCTTTTTTCCCTGGTTAGGGGTCCCTTCTGCCTTTTTGCTCTGGTTCTGGGCCCCCTCCACCTTTTTGCCCTGGTTCTGGGCCCCCTCTGCCTTTTTGCCCTGGTTCTGGGCCCCCTCCGCCTTTTTTCCCTGGTTCTGGGCCCCTTCTGCCTTTTTTCCCTGGTTCTGGGCCCCCTCCACCTTTTTTCCCTGGTTCTGGGTCCCCTCCGCCTTTTTTCCCTGGTTCTGGGCCCCCTCTGCCTTTTTTCCCTGGTTCTGGGCCCCCTCCACCTTTTTTCCCTGGTTCTGGGCCCCCTCTGCCTTT